GGGGGGGTTGAGGATGGGACGAGTCCCTCCCTTACCGAAAGGTGCAATGAAAGCCGCGCAGTTCACGGTCTGGCGCCCACACGGCAACAATGTAGCCCCAAGAAGCAAGCCGCATTGCGTAGCTCGTATAGCTATCTGTATCAATCATGAATGCAGTCGAGAAGATGGCTAATGGGAAGACATCACTGCCAAGGTTTGCCTTGTCTTGACCATTCGTATGCCCGGACTCCAGAGTGAGAGGTCTGTATATATCCACGTGGACGTTGCAGAAGTCAGCAAACCCAGGTGCACATTCTGTTAGCGTGGCATTCATTCTGATGGAATGCTGTTCGACTGGCAGCACCTCGTATGGTCCATTATCGGCGTAGTAATAGCCTCCACCCCGTAAACCGCCGACGACAACATCAGTAGCAGCCACCGACCTGAGTGAAGGAGAAGACAGGAGGAGGATCACAGCAACAAGCAGAAAGGAGCAAAGGGAAGATTTCGGCTCTCCCGCCATGCCTCTCTTCTCGCTTTTTTTTTTTTTTTTTTTTTTTTTTGGTGGGGGTCAACACTTATCTGCAGTTGTGACCGTATCCACCCAGCCCAGCTACTTTCCTTCTTGTACGTCAATACGGCGAAGGACCCACAGCAAACGACAATGCTTTCCAAATCCAAATTCCCACACCTGTCAACCTGCACACCGAAAGAAAGGGAAAAAAAAACTCGTCATTTAAATTCATTTTTCATAATGATTTTGAATTTCAGGATTCCTTGATTTTTTTTTTTTTTTTAAACCATATAGTACTATAGTTCCATCGAGATAAAGACCGTCTGCATGCAGAATATGCCTCCATACTCTGAAGGAAAATGATGAAGCTATTGAAGACCAACAACAGGTGCGGTAGCATCCATCTTCCTTTTGATTCTTCTTCTTCTTTCTTTGTTGATCTCCAAACCACTCCCTAAACAATAACAAAGAAGAAGAAGAATCAAAAGGAAGAAGAAGAAGAAAAAAAACCATCACCATTGTCATTGTCATCGTCATTGTCATTGTCATTGTCATTGTCTTCACCCTACTAGTTGGCCCAAATACAGCAAACACCATACCAGCTCCAGATAGATTTTGAATGTTCCGCAATGGAACAAGGGCCATGCCGGGATCGTCTGTCGGAGTTCAGGGCACACAAATCAATTCTGAATCTGAAAGAAAAAAAAAAAAAAAAAAAAAAATCTGATCCTGTGCAGGGTTGCACACCCCGACGGTCGGCGGCCCTTGACTGGTCGGCTGCCGACCGGCCGACCGATCGGCTGGTCGGCACCTAGAAGTCGGGGATCATCGGCAC